GGTCCATAAACATGATCTGGAGAAGGTTTTACTCATCTATAGTAAAACGAGAAAAATCAAGACAATGCAATCATTTTTAATGAAACCAAACATATTCAGTCTAGAGGACTGTCTGTGCTGGAACACGGTCTTTCTGATTTTTTGGTAGTCAAAGATAAGTGGTAGGCTGTTGTCATTAGTATCAATGTCTTTATTTAACAGAATTAGGCTTCACAACTTTACATTGTTCTTGCTGTTTTTATTAAAATTTGACTTGATTATGGGAATCATTGTTTTATTTGATCATTTGGTCTAAAGACTACTGAAAAGTACAGATCTGTACCCCATATAGCATCCCATACTTATTTCAGAAGGAGAAACTAAAGCCTGATGGGATCTTGGAACCTCTTACACTCACCAGTAGAGCTGCTCTGTCCAGTAAAGTGGCCTGGAGTCACACGGAGCAACCCGATGTGTGACGTGGGCTGCGTTGGTCAAACGCAGACTGAGTTCTAAATTCACTTTTTAAAAAAAGGAACAAAATATTTCAGTGACTTTATAGTGATTATACATTAAAATGGTGATATTTGGAATATCTTGGGTCAGTGAAATGTAATGTTAAATTTACTTCACCTGTTTGTTTTAATTTATAATATGTAGCTTGCATTGAGAATCTGTTGGAACACAAGAGAAAGTCGAAGTGTGGCCATTGCTGAAGCAGTGAAGACTGGGTCTTCAAGTCACACCAAACCTCAGCCACTGGCTTTAGCAGCCAGCCTCCCTGACTGAAGTCTCTGCTCTCTCGTTTTTTTACATCACGTGGTCACAAGGCCAATCTTCTTATTAGGTTCCTTTTGACGGTATCACACAATTGGCTGGGATATTAAATTAAATTATCAATCACACAATTGATATTAAATTTCATAACTTATTTTATATTATCTGAGTGAACCAGCCACTAAGTGAATCTGACACTCACTAGCAATGATTTCTTCGTGGTTTTCTGGTACCAGTGATGCTATTGTCCAGCCCTCCACCCATCCCAGCCTGCCCTGCACATGCTTATTCTTTGCGCTTAATCATCGCAATGTGAAATGTCGCTCCCCTCCCTGTTCCTCAGTCCACGCCTTCTCTGTCCTCTGCACTCACTGCGCAGCTTTCCTTCCCTAGAGAGACTCAGTGGCTCAACCCCGCTCCCTTTCCAGTCTCCCTGATGCCCTTTCACATCTCCTCCAATACATTATATTCTTAGCATCAGTGTACACCCCTGAAGTACTTGGTTAAAATATGCTTTAGGCAATTTGTGTACTGTGTGTGCATTTTGCCTCCGTCACTAATTTATAAATGACTTTGCCTCAGAGTATCCTCCTTCTTTATCCTATGACATTATGCTAATGCTTCTAAATGATCAACTATTTGTTTACAAGCGAGGTGTCTTAAGACCAGAGCTTTGAAGTGACTTATCTGGAACTATATATAATTCACAATAAATTAATTGCACTTCTAGAGCAAGCCCTTTCTACCCTTCTAATTTACTCTGCCTTCTAAAACTCAGGAGAGATGCCTAACATAAATCAGAGTCTTAGCAGAGGAGGTGGCAGGAGACTGATAGTGGCTCAAGGGAGAACACTGCTATTTCAGGCTTGGCAAAGAGCACCAGATCTCCTACAGGATGTATTCCATGTCCCGTCGGTGAAGACCAAGTGCAGTCATAGGCAAGCGAGCATGGAGCTCAGGGGCAAGGCTCCGGCTATAGCAGTTGAGCTGCAGTGCAATCAGGAAATGTGAAGCCGCTGAAGCCTAACTATCATGACTGAGCATCACCACGAGGTGGGGGGGAAAGAGGGAGAAAGATGCTGCTTACAGAGAGTGCAGGCCACCAGACATGGAGGAGCAAGGTTAACCTCCAAGCCTGTCCACCAGCCCAATCAACCTGCATATTGTTTCTCTGTCAGTCTTGAGCCAGGCAGGCATGATCTAGTTAGAATGAGCCTAAAATTTGCATGTTTTCAAGCACAATAGTTTGAAAGATCCAAGTCAGCTGAGGTTAGTAATACTGAGTTCTGCACGGTTTTCACTTGACAAATGCTGTCAACTTGTTTTTATTGCTTAAAATGATGAGCAGATAGATGACAGGTACATAGAGATGATAGATAGATAGATACAGGGGCATCAAGTTTTGTATACGTTCTTATTATATCCCTCATGGGGACATGTGACACACATGGATTGGGAGGTGCTTACTATTTAATGATTAATTTTCTGCTGAAATGCCATAGACTTTTTTCTGATAACTTTTCAACTGGGATGAAATTCTTCAACTAGTATACAAAAATCTTTTAAAATGTCTATAACTTTTTCTTGCTCTGCTTCAATTGAAAGTTTTGTTGAATATCATTCTGCAAAAATTATTTCATTTCAGAATTGCTTAATTAATGCAGTCAACACAGCTGCAATTGTCTTTGATGTAATGAAGAAACGAGTACCTCCAGGGTCCTGCCTGACTGGCAGCTGTCAGGTAGAAATCGATCCCCAGGATGAACAAACTGACAACCTGTATTTTGCCTGTGGATTGCACTTGATGGGCTTAGTTTATGGTTCAATATCATGAGGCTCTGGCTGAGATTACACAGGCTTCTTACACTTGCAAATCCTAGGTCTGCAATCAAATGGTGATAATAATGAAGGGGCTGTTTCCACGTGATGGTGACTTACAGATTCAGAGGGATGGACACAAGACCCAGCGATGAGGTGGAACTTGTAGATCTACATAGCGCTGCAGGTCCCTAAGGCTTGACTGATCAGGTTGTTTTGAGAAGTAACCTTCAAACAGGAAGCTGTGTTCTTATTCAGAGAGCCTTAATAAGGTTAAGAAGAGATTCCAGGATAATAAAGGGTGCTAGCTCTACTAACCAGTGTCAGCATCTTGACATTGCTAAGGTAAAAAAAACTTGGATAATTCTTAGCCACGGAGAAACACTGGTGTCTCAGATTCTCTCAACCCTTTGGTGCAAGTGTATAATGAGCAATGTGGGCAGGAAGTGAAGGCTAGGCTCGTGTACCATCTGTTTGCTTTAATGTGTTTCTTCAAACTGCAAAATGAGAGAAAAAATTTTAATTCAAATTTTAGGTGAAAAGAGTTCTACTTCAGTAATCTGATTGCTAAAACAATCAATACCTAAATAAACATTATTCAAGAGACTGTTTGGCCACAATGCCATGGTTCTCAACCGGGAGTGATTTTGAGCGAGCATTTTCCAATGTGCCAGGACGCCTTCAGTTATCACAGCTGTGCTGCCAGCATCAGAGGGTAGAAGCCAAGGATGCTGCAGAGTGTTGTGGAAGCGAAGGACAGTCCCTCCCCAGCCCCGGTACCCAGTGTTCCTGCCACAAGCAAGTGGGGACTCTGTGCACATTTGTGGGTTTTTTCCCACCAGCACATACTTACATAAAACCAAACTCCAGGTCCTGTGCCTTTGCCAAATACAAGAAAGTAGTGGCATCCTGAGAAAATCAATACAAAAATTATTCCTTCCAATAAATATTTGTTTCAGTAAAATCTATTCTATTCTTAATGAAATTAGAAGTCGTTTTGAAAAGTTGCACTAGTTTGAGCGGGTTAAAAACACAGCATTAAGAGTGCTTCCTGGATACTGCCTCACTGATGTGTACACCTGTGGTGGACGCTCCGTCAAAGTCTGCAAAGCCAGCACAGTAACATCAGAACAACTCTGAAAATCTCTGCATAGGCAACTTGCTTCCTATGGGAACAGTTCCCAAAGTGAGAGCCTCAGCTTCATCCCTGAGAGGCTTCTATGAGTTACCACTCAGATAATGGGCTTCCTGTGCCCCGTGGTGCCTTCAGTATTTCTCAGCAGTATTTCTGAAACATTAGTCTGTTCACCACCTCCACAATCACCTTAAAACATTTCGAGCATTAGTAAAAACATTGAACATTTAACAGGCATTTACATTCCGTTTACCACAAGCATCTCTACCAAAAGAAGTGTCCTAAATGATTTATTCAGTAAAGCTATGGCTAAATGAATACAGATTCGTCGTGATTCCAGTAACAAATTTCTCTTTATAGAGAATTAATTTATTTATTTAAAAATAAATTGAAGTCAGAGATATAAGGAAATATCATTTGAACAGATCATCCCGGTGAAATCCACAAGGAGCGAGCATAAACCTCACAGACATGCCAAGAGGCTACCAATTTGTTCTGGAAATACATTATCAATGACAAAGTAAGAATTATATAACCTGGTTTAAAATGCATTCTATAGGAATATTGTTTGTATTTGTGTGCTTTTCCCCTCTGCTGGTCAAGTAACAGAAATCATCGCCATCTGAGGGCTGCCATGTAGAAGTGGCATAGGACCACCCCAGAGCTGTTGTGGAAGACACAAGCTCTGCCTAGCTTCTGTGTGCTAACTATCACAGCCGTCTCTCTGGATCACTGAGTTCCTCCAGAAAGCCAGGGTCAGCCCAGCACCTACCCAGCTCTCAAGGGGCAAGGTCCCTGCAATCCAAACCCAGAAAGACTCTGCTCCATTGCATGCCGTGGTCACAAATGTAGCAAAATTCAGGAGTTCAAAAGAACGTTAGATTTTTTTCTTCACATTTTCCTTTGAGTCATATCGTATTACTCAAATCTGCACAGATAATAAAAGAGTGCTATAGTTACTCTCTAATTCCTGCCCTACAGTTAATTTCACAAAGGAATTTTACCCTGTGTAGTTCTGTTCTTCTAGTACCATGTCATTTTTTGTTTTTGTTTTAGCTGAGAGCTATCACCAACACCGTTTCTGTCTAGTCCAGGGACTTTGATCATTTCAGACACCTCTCTGTGTTGACATTTCGCCTTATCTGGAGAGTGCCACAGCACATAGGAACTAGATGCTCAGAGCGAAAGGAGAGCCTGTGAGCTCTGTTTGAAACTTTTGCTCGCTGCTCAGCTCTGCCTGGTTCGTGCGTGCGTGCGTGTGTGTGCATCTGCGTGAAGAAGCATACTGAGACCGAGACTTTTAGAGAAGGTGCGCCTGAGAGGAGAGATCCTGCAACAGAGAAAGGAAAAGTGAGGCGGGCATGGAGAGGAGAGACAGGGAGAGAGAGAGGGAGAGGGAGAGAGGGAGAGGGAGAATAGGACAGAGGACTGCTTTATAGCTGCTAAGACTGCAGACAGAAATAGCAGGCAACCACTGTGAGCTGCATCCGACTCAGAAACCAAGACCAAATTTTATTCAATCTTCTTAATCAGTTGATCAGAATGGAGGAAATGACATCTGGTCCTGTCTTCATCTACATCTTAATGATGGGAAAGTATTGTAAGTATTCTTGGCATCTAATTTTGTATTCCTTAGTATTGTGTGAAATCATCACAAGCAGTATAATTGTATAGTACGTGCAATCAGCATAAATGTTCATTACTTACATTTATGCTCTTAAGCTAAGATATATTTTCTGATAAAATTGTCATCTCACTTTAGAATTATTCTTCTGGGATATTTCTTCATTGTATTTGTTTGAAATACTGGACTATCTTGTCATAATATTTAATCAAGACTAATATGTCATGTAAACCTATGCTTTAGAACAACAGATTTGTAGAGATAGTTTAAGGAATACTGTAGTACTGAAAGAGTTACAGTCCTTAAAGATGCCACATCCAGGGACCGTGTTCACCAGAACAGGTGGGGTAGTCATGATATTTGTTCCATTTCTGTGTAGTTTCGCAGCTTTGCCTTCCTCTGGTGTTTGGTACCTCAGGTGCGCATCCACACCCAGATGCAGGCAGAAACTCTTTGCTTAGGGAAGGCTCTCCCTGTGCTATGAGGAGCAAAAGGCGTCATGGACACATAAGGAGATCAAAAGAGACATTTTACTTGTATCTATAGTGACAAATTCTGCTTTCTCTTTGTGTCATGGTTTATTCAGAAATGTTGCTTTATTTTTTTAATTCCTATCTTTTTTTGTTTTTGTTTTTGTTTGTTTGGGTTTTTTTGGTTTTTTTTTTTTTGGTTTTCTTTTTTGTGGTTTTTTTCCGGTACCGGGAATCAAACTCACGACCTCGCGCTTGCCAGGCAGGTGCTGTGCCGCTGAGCTAAATCCCCAGCCCCCTCAGAAATCTTGTTTTAATTCAAAGGAAAGAAGCATTGTGCATCAAGCCTCATTTGAATTGTGTGATGTAAGTAGAAATGAAATGTTCTTGTTGCTTAGGTAATGAATGGAGAAAGGCAAAATCAAGCAAAGAAACTTTCTAAGGACCATTAATACCTTACATTTCTGGGAATGTGAGATTCACCAAATTTAGATCTTATAAGCAAGTTGTTTTCCTCCAGGCCCTAAAAGTTAGCAAAAGTTTTGTTTACAATATTCTATTCTATTGAGGAATAGCTCCAGGTAACTTTCAACACTAAGTCTCTTAATACTGATAGCATGTACTGTACCAAAGTGACAGAGTGACTTTATTTCCCTTTATTTCTTTCTCTGTGCCTTTGACACATCTCATTTTTCAGTCAAAGGTGGGAGACTGTATCAAAATCAGTGCAACTTCCTCAAATTTCCAAGAGATATGCTAGTCTTAGCTTTCTCCCTCTCTAATCTTGATTTTTGATATTCCTATTTTCTGTAAAGGGAGGGAAAAAGTCAAACTTCAAATCAGCACCAAAAACTGAATGTTTCTAATTATAACCCAGTGTTTAAGCTACCAGAGTGCCTGACATTTACAACCCAAAGCCTTGTGAATCAATAGCAAATTTTACCATCCCCTATTTCATTTCAGTGAAATTTTGAATAGACTGAATAAGCCAAAGGAAAATTTTTAAAATGGGCTTTCTAGTGTGAAGATTTCAGGGTCTATAGAAGGTTTTCTGGGCAGGTTGAAAAGCAATTTTGGCTAGTGTGTTACTGAAGTCATTTTGGGTCAGAGAAAAAAACCCTATGTTAACATGTCCTCTTTGGTTCATGAGAAAGTATTTTCATGAGCAGAAATAGAAAATGATGATGATGATGTCAGGACCCTGAATCTTTTCTTATTAAAAAGGAAGTTTGATGAAGCAGTATAAGTACTTGAGTGCTCTGAAATCTCACTGTCTCCTACCCTGCACAGTGGATGAAAACCCAAGCACTTGCCCCAGGGTCGGCCAAGCAAGATCGCAGGATGCATGGTGTAGACGTGGCATCGGGCTGGGGGAACACATGGCAGGGACCCCTAAATAACAACTAGCACCCCACAACCTTGGCCCACCTCTAGTGTAGCCCAGCACCTGGGTCTTGCCTGAGAGAGGATTTCCTGTTCACATAGTACAGCACATCAACGATCACACAGAAGGACAAATTCTTGTGCCTCTACAACTGTCCCATGGGTACTGACTATTTGCTTTGCTTTGCTTCTTTTTAACTACTCTTCTGTAACCTGGCACAAGCAATGAGATACCACGGATGATGCCTGCGTGAAGGTGCTTGCCTGTGCCGCCATGTATTCGTTTCCATGATTTCCAACTTTTTACCCTCTCAGAGCCTTGGTTTGTAAAGTTTCGGTCGAATCCTTTACCTTCCCAACCACCCAGAGCTCCTATACCTGGCTCTTTGTCACAAAAATTGCCTCCTTGATCTTCTCAATTATTACACAAACACAAAGACGCACACCAGAAATGCAAGACCCAAGGATATTCAGTAACTTATCACAAGGTTCAAGCTAATTCATGCTGAGATTTTAAGGCTTTTGGTTCATACACTATACCCTAGACCATGGCCATTCTTGGTACAGCTGGCACAAACAGTAGAGCCTTGAAATTTACAAAGCTATTAGTCATTCTGCTAACCAAAACTACCTTCTGAGTGCATGAACTTGAGCACAGGGATGCGGGTGACTACCCCACAACCCCTACTCTGAACAAACGGAGTGGAGGAGACAGCAAGGTGATCCAGGATTACCACTCACTGAGCAAATGCAGAGACCAAGGTATAACACAGAGGTGGGACACTGAGATTCAGAAACTATTTCCTTTTAGCCTTCAACACTTTTCATTCTTTAAAAAGTCCTCTCCAGTCAAGTTAATTGCATGGTGCCAGGTTAATTCCTTAATTTTGATAGTGTACTATTGCTATGTAAGATTTCACCTTGGGAAAGATGGCTGAATGGTACATGAGGACCTGTTATAGTACTCTTCCAACCCCTTGCATCTTATCATTACTTCAAAATTAAAAATTAAAAACAATCCAGAAGGAGGTATATCATAAATCCTTACCAGCAAATGTTTTGCTTGTTACTTAAACAATATCATTTAACAAAACAATTGGTTTATTTGATACTTCAGGTAGACAGACAGCAAGCAACCAAGGAGGAAAGAGAAAGCTCCCAAGCATAACTTTGATCCTATTTAGTGCCTTGCCAAGGGCCGCCCCAGCGGCTGAGGTTCTAGCAGATCCCAGGGTTCATCCCAAATCCCCTGGTCTTTACCTTGGACCCCAGGGCTGGCATTATTTCCAGATGTCTCTAAAGACAGGGAAAGGAAGAGAAGACCCCAAAAGAGACCACTGGCTTGACAAGAACCGGTAATCCAACCACATTAGCCCACTTCAAAAAGACAGAAAAGTAAACTTTCCAAAATGCAGACTACAAAAGAGTCCAGTATTCCAGTTTATATATTTTTGAAGCTTGATAACAATGCTATTTTTTTCTTGCTATGAATTTGAAAGCATGATTTCAAGTAGAAAGAAACTTAATAGATCTGTACAAATACATCACCATCTGCATAAAGGGAAGCAGATTATTACGTGTAAGAACCAAATAGATTCACAATCATAATTTCAAACATCAGGACAAACTTCTTAGATTGAAGTGCCTGGAGTTCCTGGAGTGGAGTACCTAATTATTTCAAGCTGTATAGTTAAATATATGTTTGTTTTTATATTTTCCACTTATTGAGAGCTTTTTATGGCCCAGGCTCCAGGCTAAGTGCCTTTAAAACTATGAGATACCCTTACCTTGTAAGATAAGAAGCAGAAAGTGAGACATATGAGGTAGCATTCTTGACACTGTCTTCCAAAAAGCATTGTTAAAGAATATTTGAATCCAGGTCTGTCTCCTTGAAAAAACTATGCTAGTAAAACATGATTCAGTCCAAAACATTCTAAAATTGTAAAGCCATAAAATGTATAAGTAAAGATACCGAGAGCAAATCCACTGTATTTCAGTCAAATTAGGTATCTCTCCACTTCAGAAATTAAGTGATAAAAATATACTGACCACCCAAAATGGTTAAGGTAGGTTAAGTGCATGTACCAGTCTGTCAAGACAAAACCTATTCATCTGCTAGCTAATATGCACTAATGAAAAACATATGAAGCAAAATAATGCCAAGCCCAAGGTCTCAAAGCCCATACCCTCAGGCGGTCACCTGGCAGGGGCTGTCCCCATCCCAAGAGAGTGAGACAGTCCATGCTTAGGTTTACGGCTCTCTTCATGTGCGCCAGTACTATAGGCTTTGCATATATCATCAGGATACAGCAGCAGCTGATGCATTAGGATACATTTGTGCACAAGTTGGACACAGAGGTGGCACCTGGGAAGCGTTTTTGCTTGTAGCACCTGACACTGAGCTATCAGTACAGCAAGTACCAGTAATTATTGGCCTCATCCCTGCATAGCTCGCCTCTCCTTCCTCCTAGGTATTTTCCCTGCTCCCTAGTTCTCTCTCATCCCAAAAGCTCTGGTCCCTGTGTGATGTGCCATCTTCCAGGACCCTTTCAACCTCAGTTCTCGGCTTCAACTGTCACCCGGGTCAGAGCAAGAATGCTCTTCTTCCTCCAAAATAAGCATGGGCAAGCTGCGGGTAATTCGGATTTTGGTTTTATTTTCTATTGCCGTAATAATGAATGCCAAGCAGAAAAACAGGAGAGCAGAAAATGATGTCACCCGTTACTTGTGTTGGGGATCAGTATTTTCAATTAAACAACTATATTGCAGTGATTTTGGATATTTGGTATTTTGTTCCCTTCATTTTATAGTTATTTCAGTTTTTCCTGAGTGAACTGGGGTTCCCTTATTGCTTTAATCTTCTGTGATAATAAATACATCCTTCTGAAATAAAAATCAATGCTCTCAAAAAATGTCGCTGAGCTCACCCGTGGGAAGGGGCTCTCGTGGCCCTCTCACCAGCTGCTCTAGGGCACATGGAGAGCTTGTGTCTAACAGTCCTACTCCGGACTCTCTCCACTACGTCCCTCATCATGATTCTCAACCTCCCCAGGACCTCGGGTCTCCTCCAGTGGCGCAAGTCACAGGTTCTCCCATAGCGTCTCTTTCCAGCTCACTTCCAGG